AGAGTTCTTGGAGTTCATTAGAGCCGATTTTGGAGCTAGCAACATCTCTCTAAAGCTCTCCTTTGTCCTAGGTGTGTTGTGAACCTTTTGAGGCATCATACTTGGGGTGCTAAGTTCTTAAAGGCCAAAACTACAAGCTACAACAAAGAGGTAATTCTATAACTCACTTTTATGTTGTTTATGTCAATTGTATGCTAGTTGTAGGCTTTATGCTTTAGAAACAATATTGCATGTATAATTAGAGAAAACATAGATCCAAAGCATTTAGGGTTGTATGTGCACCATAGGATGTTGTAGTATACTAAAACCCAACAATAAAGTCACCAAGTCAGTAACTTTATGGATTAGGATGTCTTAAAAGACCTGGATCTATGTTTTGGACGTTAGGACTTAATGGATTAAGTCACAAAAGGAGCCTTAAGGAAATTGGCCAGTACAACGGGCGTACACCCTGGTACGCTGCGCATACTCAGTTAACTCCCCGCTTTTGGTCAAGGCCAGCGTACGCATGCAGAGTGGCGAAAATGTGGTTTTTGGGCCTTAGGAGTTTGGGCCTGGATTGTTGGGCCTCATGGCCCACTGTGGAATAAGGCCTCTGGGCCTGGAACTGATATTTATGGTATTGGGCCTCTTGGGCCATATTGGGCCATCCAAAATTAATTATTTTGGGCTAAGAGTATGTTGGGCCTTGATAAGGCCCGTTTGAGGAGTTGGGCCCAATTTAGAAAATTGGGCCATTGGTGGGCCACTTGTGGGTTTGGGAAGACTATTTAGAATTGGGGCCTTTCATGTTATGGTGTTGGGCCTTGGACTTTGGCCCAATTAGATCAGGGGTAAAATGGTCATTTTACCCTAAGAAGGATTATTAGTTTTTGATTAAGTGTTATTGTGGTAATGATAGCTCGGGGAGTCGTCGGAGCTATCGCTAGAGATTTATTACCATGAGATTTTGCATTCAACTTACGAGGTGAGTTACCTTCTCGGTAGGAGTGGGTCGAAGGCACTAATGTCAGCCCACTAGTACTTGTTTATAGTTAGATGATTGTCTTTGTGATAATTATCTGTTATGCCACTATCTGTTATGCTTTATATGTTAGTATGCTAAGATGATAGGATGCTATATGGTAGTGGTAGGGGTGAAATAGTCCCTGTAACCGGTTGAAAGAGACCGAAGGGGTAGGCCAACACCCGGATATGCTAGGCAGTATGTGAGTATGTGTTTATAGGCTAGGATGCTATATGGTAGTGGTAGGGGTGAAATAGTCCCCGTATCCGGTTGAAAGAGACCGAAGGGGTAGACCAGCACCTAGATATGCTAGGTGGTTACCGGTTGAAAGAGACCGAAGAGGTAGGTTAACACCCAGATATGTTAGGCGGTTACCGGTTGAAAGATACCGAAGGGGTAGGTCGGACATCCAGATATGCCTGACAGTATGTTATTTGTATGTTATGTGGTATGATGGGGGAACTCACTAAGCTTTGTGCTTACAGTTTTCAGTTTTGGTTTCAGGTATATCTTCTTCGAAAGGAAAGGAGCTGGCATGATTGCAGCGCATCACACCATGATTTCCTCACACGAGACCTCTGGGATTTTGTACTCTGATGATGTTTTATCGTGATATGTTTTGACTATTGATACATTGGTTTTAATATGAGCTGACACTATGGATGTTTTCTTACAAATGGTTTTATAATATTTAAATTAAAAGTGAAATTTTTAGCCTTAATTTTTGGGATGTTACAGGAAGGATTCGGGTTTGAAGGAACCACAAGGGGTTACTTCGAGAGTGGAAGCGAGAACTAATTTCGAGAATGAAATCTAATTTAAGTAGGGGGAATTGTAACACCCAAGTTCCATAATGGATTAGGTTTAGGGCATCTAGGAGTCAAAGGCATCGTTTTTGGGTAAAATTGGGTGTCACGACGTGACAAGTTAAAATGAAGATGCGTATCCTTGAGGGCTTGTCACGACGACAAAAGAGGATAGTCGCGTTGTGAGGATGGTTGCAGCCTAAGCTCACGAATTTTAGGGTTCTCCCTATATTTAAGGATCTTATCTCATGACCTAGGGTATCTTCTTCAGACTCCACTCATTTCAAACGAATCCCTAGCCCCATCTATGAGTTCTTGAGCATTTGGCAATGTATTGGAGACTTGAAGGTGAAGGGATCATCTTTGGAGCATAATTTCAGCTTGCAAGCCAGATTAGAATCTCCTAGCAACTTCTCTAGACCTGTGTGAGTATTCAAGTTTCATTCTTTATGGTTTCTTGTTGCTAGATCTAGAGTTTTATGCTTTATTGTCCATGGCTAGATGAGTTAGAGTGTTGGGATTCCATAAAGTTGGCAACTTTATGGGTCCTTAGTGTCCCTTGGTGGTTAGTTGAGCTAGATTTGTAGTTTGGTGAAGTTTGAGCTCTTACTTGAGGGCTTGAACTCCTTTTTATTCATAAGTAACGTAATTTGATCTCAAGACTTGAATTGGGCATGCAAGGCCATAAAGCATCAATTTTTATGGTTTTTAAGGTGTAAGGAAGCCTTCTGGAGGAGATTAGTACATGGCTTAATGGATTAAGAGCTTACTCCATCAAGTTGCTTTTTAGCCAGTTCTCACAATGTGATAAGGTGCCTGTCACATCATGTCGATTGAAGACATGCAATTATTTTGTCCTTATCTAGTCACGACGTGACCAAGAGGTTGACACGTCATGAGGAGCAGTTGACCATTGAATTTTTGACAAGTTTGACTTTGAGTCACACATGAAGGATTGGGGCTGTTGATTAAGATTCTATCATGTTTTGGTGCTAGTAAGTTCGTGGGAGAAATCAGTGCAGAAAGGGAGCGTGTCGCATTGTTTCTGGGTTCTTCCTTTCAGGCGAGTTTTCCTCACTATACCTGTGGGTCGAAGGCACCAATGTTGACCCACTAGATTTGGTTATGTATCCTTGTTTATAAGAAGTTGCTATGTTATAGTGATCAGCTATATATGTATATATATATATATATATATATATATATATATATATATATATATATAGGAGTAGTAGTATGATGGCTAGAGTGCCAGTAGGCTGGTTATTGTCTAGTGGGATGCCCTAGGGGTTGTATGTAGTCACGTAGGATAGGCTGAGAACTCTTGATCTAGGCTTTCTTGCATGTTCCTTGTTTGGTTGTGGCTTTAGAGTGGGATCATATGTTCGGGTGTTCATCTCACCTCTGGTTGCATATGGCTATGCATTCCTTGGAGATTTGTTGGTAGCAGAGTAGTGTGCTGTGAGGGGCCTAGTAGGAGGTAATGAACTGTTTGACAGGTACATTGATAGTTGCATGTACTTATGTGCCTACTTGATTTCTTGTTTGTTTATATGTCGACATATCGTGATGGGTGAGGTTTAGGTGGTCCTGTTGTGTGCTATAGGCCAAGATACCAGGTGCATGTCGGCTGTAAGCCGTAGGCACGGAGGCTCGGGAGGAGCAGTTGGGTTGAGGCAGCAGGCCAACATACCTGAGGCAATCCAGTCCGATGATTGTGGGCCCAATATGTATGCTTGTATATGTTTTGTGGTGTGTGGTATTTTGGGGGGAACTCACTAAGCTTCGTGCTTACCCAATTGTTATGTTTTCAGGTACCATCAGTGATTGTGGGAAGTTGAATGCGTGACTGTACACACTTATTAGCAACATTGAGGATTTCAAATTTATTATATTAGTCTAATTTTTAACAAATGTAATTTGTAGCAAATGGTTTTCTTAACATGGATTTTATAAATATGCAGTTTTAACTTATTTAAAATAAAAAAGTTTGGTTGTGAAAGTGGGACGTTACATGATAAGTGTCCACTAATAGATTAGTGTCTAACTATATATGATTTTTGTTTCCACAATATTTCCATAAACTCTTAAGGGTGAATGTATTGGCATACCTATCTCATTTTTTTAATATCATTAAATGTGTCATTAATTTAATCATTTTTATATTAGTTTAATATTGGGTTTTCGATCTGCAAAGTTAGATAAGATAACCGACTTGATTGACTATCAATATTTCTAGGTACGACCATACATTTTATATTAGTCAATCATACGGAGGGGTCTGAGGGGTATGACTGATATTACACTCCAACAATTAGAGAAAAAAAATATCAGTCTTAACTACATGTGTCCCTTATAAGTTTCATGTCATATTTGATGGTAACATTTAGAATGGTCTTGTTTAGGATAATGTTTAACATACATCAATGCATGACACTAAGCCTACTTAGGAGCCAACATATATCTCAGGTTTAAGGATACACAAACTTATTTCATTTTTCAAGATACACTCAATGGCGCCAAAGCATGGAGACATCTTGAGGTGGGTTAGTCCAATACTCATTCACCAGTAATATATGTGAATCTTGCATGCAATAAGGTCATTACAATTTCAAAATGGTTGTTTCACACACAACAATAGCAACCTTAATATACTCGTGTTGTTGGATTAATCGGTTTAGTCAAATGATTCAAAAACGGTTTTTATATCAAGGGGCATTTTAGGAAAGTTTTGTGTTTTTAGCTTTGTTTCCAAGTCTTTGTATTAGAGTCAAAGTCTTTTAGTTTAGTATAAATAGGACTATGTTTAAGTAAAATTATATTGAGATTTCCAGTAATAATTTCAAGGTTAACAAGTAATTCATCTGTTCTTGTTTTTTCTTCTTCTTTATTTAATTCATACCTTAGGAACCAAGGTAATATCAGGTGGTATTACTAACACTTGGTATCAGAGCAAAGGTTGATGAGAGCTGGTTTGAGAGTCGACTTTCGAATGGGAGGACCCTTGAGGTGCAGGGCTGTCATTGCAGCGAAAGTGCAAGTGGGTTGACTGATTTTAGAAGACATGGTGGTCAATATTAGCAGCTTGTTTGGTTGCTAATATGGGTCGCAATTGAGACTGTTTATGGAGACGGCTGTGTTCCGGCCGGGAGTTGTCGTGAGGGAGACGGGGAGTACCATTTGAGACGATGGGGGTGACCGATGATGAACAAAGGTGGTACGTGGCTGTTAGTTACGATCAAAGAATGGTTTGTTTCGAGACTTTTTCAACAGGGGGTGCTGCTGTCGGGATTTCGCAGGTCTTGATCGGTTTGTTCGTGATAAGGGGATATCGACGTAGGTGCATGAAAAGCAGGCATGAAGGATCCGTTAAATCATGTGGCTTTGGTTTCAGTTTGGTTGCAGATTGAAAGAAAACGGTGAAGTGGGTGACTTTGCTTTCTTAGTCGGTGGAGATGCCTCTTTGAAGAACGGTGATCGAAACAAAGGAAGAGATTGGAGAAACTACACGGTGTGAACATTATGGCGTTGGAGTTCAAATCAGATGGCTTTGGATGTGGCCAAGGAAGAGGTCGTTGATCCGGGAAAAGTCGAGATGGTAATGAACATGTCCAACAGGATGCCATGGTATATGTCATGGTATATGTCACATGTGTTGTCAATAATCAAAGGGGTTGAGAGAAGACTTTGGATGTGACCGAGGTGAATATCGGGTGTCCGGAAAAGGTCGAGAATCGAGACAGTTCGAAAAGAAGGTGATTAAACACTACTCTGATTGAGCAGTATGACCAAACCGATTAAGGGGGTGATTGTTGGATTAATCGGTTTAGTCAAATGATTCAAAAACAATTTTTATATCTAAGGGTATTTTAGAAAAGTTTTGTGTTTTAGCTTTCTTTCAAGTCTTTGTATTAGAGTCAAAGTCTTTTAGTTTAGTATAAATAATAATATGTTTTAAGTAAAATTATATTGAGATTTCCGGTAATAATTTCAAGGTTAACATGTGCTTCGTTAGTGGAATTCTCTTCGCCTTGATAAAAGTGTTCATGTCTTGGGCCAAAAAACGGGAAATGAATTGTTAACCTAACAAAAACAATTGTTCTCTTCGTAATGATAATAACTTTTGTCAATAGTGGAAGAGCTTGCAATTTTTTTATCTTTATTGTGGATGACGTAACAAATATCATTTTTTAAATAAAGATAACAAAGAAAATAACCTAAGGCTAACATGTATGGGGAAGGAAAAAGACACGTGAAGGCTAAGATGGCATAGCCAAGACGAGTGAACACCGCCCCAAGGGTCGGTGTTGTGGCTGTGGCTGGTGGGGAGACGGAAGAAGACGGGCGCATTCATCAGTTGAAATTGATTTTGACCGTTTGGGGGTGCAGCATTTGACCGTTGAAAATTTATAAAAAAAAAATCATTCATTTTAATTAACTTTCTCTCTCTATATATACAAATATTTTACACACTTTTTTCACAACAAAACACACACATTTTTTCAAAACATTCGCACACTTTCAAAAAAATGGATAATTTTTTCGGTTCAGTTTCTTCTTCATTTGATGACGAGTTGGTATTGCGCACACACTATTGTGTGCGGCATAAAACATGGTTCGTGAAAGAGGGGAAAGTTCACACGGCGAGAAGAAGCGTAGAAAATGGATCAATCGGTATCGAGAGGCAGCAAATGAACTTTTGGTACGTGATTATTTTGCCCCTGATAGTTTATATGATCTATCGAAATTTTAAGAACGTTTTCGTATTAGTAGAAATTTATTCTTACGTATAGCTAAAGATTTGGAACGTAATTATGAGTTTTTCCAATTAAGATGGGATGCTAGAGGTAAACGTGGTTTTATTACAATACAAAAATATACGGCCGCTCTTAGACAATTGGGATACGGCATAGCCGCAAACACATCAGATGCGTATTTGAAAATGTCTGAGAGAACGGGTCGAGACTGTACATATCTTTTCTAAGAGTATGATATAGAGCTTTACCGTGACATATACTTGCGACATCCGACTAAAAGTGGCACATAATCAAACATCCGACACGAACATGGGATAGGACAAAACTAATGACAGTGTTGACTGCTTGTGTTGTTTTACATAACATGACAATAGAAAAAGAGGGTAGGGTTATTTGTTCATATACCGGGAATGGCATACTTAATCCACCTGCAATAATACAAGTTGGCAGCCCGACATACTTGTCTAGGGTTTTGGAAATACAAAACTGTGAAACGCATCACAATCTACGTCACAATTTGACCGAACACATATGGAAAAGACAATTCCAAGGGGAAAATGACGATGAAGACTAAGAGGATGAGGGCGGTGATGACGAGGCGGATGATGACAATGATGACGATGAGTAGTATTTTTCTATGGTTTTTTATGTTTTAAATTTTTATGTTTTTTAAGGAGTGTAATGTTTTATTTGTTATGTTTTATGTTTATTTTAGTAATTTAGGTTTTAAATTTATATGTTTTTAATTAATGAAATGTGGTTTTATTTTTTTGTGTTTTCAAAAGGTTTATTTATGTTATAAATTATGTTTTTTATTTAATATAATGTTACAAAAAAAGGAATATTGTGTTGTAGTAATCATTTTCAAAGTCTAGTGGGTTGGTGGTGAAGTTGACGTGGCGTAGAGGTGACAGCACTTTTTCGGTGGGTTGGTGGTGACCACTCCTCATAGCGTAATAGAAGTTGAATCTTGTGGATTAACTATAAAACTTGACTTTTTTTTTTATAGTTCACAAGTTTTATAAGTTTTGCAACTAGAAAGTCATGAAATTGAATGAAAATTAGTATATTTTTTGAACTTTTTCTAAAAAGTATATAATGATATGATTGTCAAGCCAAACATAAAGTGATTTTTTTTTCAAATATTTATATCTTAATTACTATACCTGTTTATATTGCCACACCACTTGGTTGAAAACTCCTTGAATTTTCTTTGCATAACATGTCGGTAGCATAATCTACCATTATTTTATTCACGTTTCATCAACAAGAAGACAATTCGAACTTGATTATTGAAAAGAATACCCACCACCCCCCTCAAAATCCAACCACACAATCACATAATTTTCTTCATTCTTCAAAATCAATACACACTCTCCAATTTTCCTCATTATCGAGCTCGATTTCTCCAAGATTTCATTGAATCCAAACAACATTCTACAGCAGTTTCTTGGACTCTGGTGATTAAAAAAAAAAGGCAAGAAAGGACTACACTTTCTACTCAATCTTTGATGCTTTTCTGCTTTATCCTTTTCCTGTGCAATCGACTTTTAACAATTCATGGGTTTTTTATTTTATGATTCAAAGGGATCTATATCTACTACCGTTTTAGCTTCTCTTTTTCCCTGTTTTTCCTCTCTTGGATTCTGAGGTTTTGTTCTTTGAGGTAAAGTAGTTAACTTTATTGGAATATGCTTATTGAATCGAGTTTTGTGCTATCCTTTAGTCAAAATAGGGTTTATGTTTATCCAATCACTATTGGGGTCAGTACGTACTTGAGCTCTGACAATATTTCGCGGGTCTCTATATATATGCATGTGTTTACGGTTTAGGTGATCTAAATTAGGGTTTGTGCTTCCCCTTTTTGAGAATTCTGTTTTCCAATTGAATCCAGGTTAGATTTTTATGTTGATCATGAAGTTTAATTATTTGAATTGTGTGTTGTTAACTATGATTACATTTTTTTGGTAATTGATTGGCTGCATAATCTGTTGCGTTCTTGAATCATGAATACTTTTGTAGTTTTCTGTTTATCAACATATGCAAAAGGCACACGTCATTGCTCTGTAATTTCATGATAAAGAAACAGTTTCTTGATTATTATTTTTTTCAATGTTTTCCAGGTGTAAGTTCATGGAATCTCCACAATCTGTTGTATCACCATTGAAGAACTCATCAATTTACTCCGACCCCAAAAACCATAATCTCAATCATTCCCCAAAAAGCCCTGAATTCACATCAAAAAAACCCGACCCATCCCTTGGTGTTCTCGATATCTACGTTCACCAAGCTAGAGACATTCAAAACATCTGTATATACCACAAACAAGATGTTTATGCCAAAATTACCCTCACTACCAACCCCGAAAAATCCGTCACCACAAACACAATAAATGGAGGTGGACAAAATCCCGTTTTCAACGAAAAGGTTTCAATTGATCTCCCCACTCTCGATACTTCAATCAAATGTGAAATATATATGTTAAGCCGAGTCCGGAATTACCTCGAAGATCAATTGCTAGGTTTCACTGTAATCCCGCTTTCCGATGTTATCTTCAAGAAAGTCGAAAAGGAGTTCTCGTTATCAACAAATGATATTTTCCATTCCCCTTCTGGTTTCGTTCAGCTCTCTTTGTCGTACAATGGAGTGTCGCCGGATGTCATTGCGATTCCAATTCCGATTCCGTCATTGCCGGATTCCGACACGCCGGTTTCCGATTTGGATAAACTCGAGTTCCCAGATCCGAAAATTGCAAATGAAAACGAGATGATGGTGTCGGAATATATCGGGCTTAGTTCAGAGAGCTTAGTCTCGTCTGATACAGACGATCAGACGAGTTCGGAAAACGGTGCATCGTTTGGGTTCAAATCTGAGTCACCTCCAACAAGTGTCTCGACTAATGGGTCTCAATGTGATTCCGTTCCTTTTGTTGCTGATAAACTGGAATCCAGAAATCAAGAATCAGAATCGGAATCGTCTCTGAAAGATGACCCGGTTAAAGGTGGGTCGGTTGGTGACGTGGCAAACAAGCCTGTGGGTGTGGTGAATCTTGAGATGGATCAAAAAGTGGTGCAGCAAGATTTTGTGGATTTGTACATGAAGAGTATGCAGCAGTTTACTGAGTCGTTGGCGAAGATGAAGCTGCCATTGGACATGGAGACCGAGAAGACGAGTTCGGGGGACTCGAGCTCGGATCAAAACTCGGGAACACCAAATGGGACCCGCCCACGAGTTTTTTATGGGAGTCGGGCTTTCTTTTGAAGTGATAGATGATTTTATGCTCCAGTCATCCGATATCATGAATGCTCGGATGACTGAAGCATAAATGCTGACGCAATTTGGAGGTGATAGTGAGGGATTTAGAGTTGAGAGAATGATGATTGTTAGTGTTGTTTATGTATGGAACATTGTGTTTTTCTCTCATTTTCTTTTGTTATGTTGTTGATTGTATTTTCTTTAGTTGTTATTTATCTTAAAAACGTTAGTTTTTTCTTCTAGTTTGAGTTTATCTGTCATATATATTTGAATCGAGACTGATATGACTGTCATTATTAGGTTATTTTTAGTTGATTTTAGGATCGTCTTGATTAAGATAGGTTTCCGAGTTCGATTAGCTCGAAAACTCGACATGTTTATATATTCTATTTATTTACAATATTGCCACGCATTTTGCCTGTAATCACATTTGCTTCAAATGCCTTGTTCTTCATTTTGATGTTGATTTCAAACTGATCATTTGAACGTGAGGTTTTCCGGTTGTAGTCGATGAATTTCTTGTTCACAGCCTCACAGGCAGGTTCTCCAATTCGAGGAGTCTTATGTGATTACCTTTCACATGATACTTGTTGAAGATAGTTGTGTGAGTTTGTTAATCATTTACTTTCTCAATAACCGACTTTAGTGTATCTTATTTATATTTCATACGATACTCTTTAATAATGATGACCAAGTTACAATTGTTGGAAATCTAAAATTTGGGGTTTGTGTGAAATGTTTGTACAAATAAATGAAATTGATACAATGTTGTATCAATTTCAATCTATTCTAATAAACAAAGATTTTTTTTGCCACATGTAACATTCTCATTTAATTTGTCAAATATCATTTTATAGTTATTTTGAATTAATTTTGTTCCATATATCATTTTATGGGGTTTCTTTTAATAAATTTCACATAATACTTTAATGTAATAATTACAATAAATATAATAATAAATAAATATCAATTTCATTAATGGACTTATCTTTTTATTTCAAAATTCTTAAATTAAAGTTCATTAGTTTATTTATTTACATTTAAAAGATAAAAAAATCAATTTTAATAATTCATTATTTTTCTTATTTTCTTATAATCCAAAGTTTTTTAGATATTTAGTCATTTATATTTAATTTTTTTAATTAACTCATGTAATACATGGGTCTTACACCTAGGTTTTTATACAAATATATTCCAAAATTTTGGTAAAAATATTATATATAAATACATAAACTTGATAAACAAATAAAAATAAAAAAATAAAAATTATCTTTTATTCTTATCCATGTTAAATAATGAAAATGTTATATTTAATAAAAATAATAATATTTAAAAATATTTGTCATATTTAACATGAATAAAAGATTAGATATATGTTAGATAAGAAGAAAAGTTAGAAGATATTTAATTTTTCAACAAATAAAAGTGTATACATACAAAAAAATATAACATGATTCAAACAAACAAACCATTCCCTAATCTTTTCAAGGTCACAGAGGTACCTCAACTATTTCATTTGCTCTTGTATACATATGACGTCTGCAAACCCAAGCAATATGACCATCATCCCTATATCTCACTCTCCACAACCCAAACTTCTCAGCAATATCTTTTCCGGTGGAACATCCCCTTTCCCTCAAAAAATCCACTACCCATTGCTGCGCCGCCTTCATATCTTGCTGAACATCCGTCGACCTCCCTCTACTCCGGCCGGCTACCGCCGCACCTACTGCCCCAACCGCCCCAGCTGTAGCAGCAGCACCGGCAGCCCCCAACATAAGCGGGTTTCCGGCCAGATGCGCAACTTCTTTACTCAAATCCGGTATCATCTCCCCCATTCCTGCAGCTATATGAGCTCCTATTTTTAGGGCAAATGTCAAAAGCTTCATGAACCCTTTCATGTATGGAGCCACAGACATCACAGCTCTGTTATCAATCTGCATCATCTCGCACCCCATTTGATCTTCAACAACATGCATTTCGCCTTTGAATTCGCACAACATGTGAAGCCGGAGCGCGGTCATCCCGGAGATCATGTTCGTGACTAATCTCCTCGAGTAATTATCAGTTCTAACAAAATAAAACATATTCGGTACTTTTCTTTCTTCTATCTGAACGTTAAAATTTGCTAAGTAATTAACCTTACGATGGAGCTCCGTCAATAGCCTATGTTCGTAGTATCGTAACCCTTGGATTTCTTGTTTCAAATCCCTAATTTCCTGCTCGATTATCTTAAGTCTATGAATCACTTCTTCTACCCCTTTCGCAATTCCGGCAAACGACGGGTCGATTTTTCCGGTTTCATCGTGAATCGGTTCATCTGAGTTGTTTTCCGTGGGTACTTGTAACTCCATAGCTAGATCGTAAAGGTCATGATACCTCCGATGAAGCACTTCTCTAAAATCATCATCCGATAATAAATCCCGCGCAAAGTCAAACCCAGCTCTGACCACCTGCCGCCCTGAGTCAAACACCGGTGTCCAGGTATGTTGATAATCATACATTCCGTCTGCCGGAACTGAGAGCAAAGCCTGTTTTAACTTCGCGAGTGGGACAAATTGGGTTTTCCGGTGACGTGGGGGTGTGAGATTTTTGACACATTCTGGACGAAGGATGTTTTCAGTCAATGTTACACCATTACAGAGGCTTTGGATTGCTGGGTATATAAGCTCCCGGAAGAGCTTTAGGGTTTCAGTTAGGTTTTTGGTGGAGCAAGCAAGAACATCAAGATAGTACCCTAGTTGTCCTCCAAGCTCCACCCTGATATGAACTCCATTGATGTTTATCAAGATGAGGGATTTTTCTAGACTGTATGTTGCTCCGTGATGACTCTTGAGTCCAATGATTTTGTTGTGAAGGTGAACCTGTTTTCAGAAGTACATTTCTATTATTAGTAAATAAATGTAAATGTAATTCTATTATAGGTAAGAAATCGTATGTACATTTCTATTATTTGTAGATAAAACGTAACATATTGCTATTATGGTTAATTTTAGACAAAATTGCAAGAATGGTCCCTGTGGTATGTCAAAAATTGCCACTTTGGGCCAAACAGGTTTGGACTAGCACCAATGGTCCAAAGATTTCCATTTTGTTGCGAGTTTGGTCCATTTTAGTTTAATTTTTTCTAAAATGACGATTTTGCCCTTTGTATTTATTTTTTTCATTTTTTTTATTACAGAAATAAAAAAAGAAAAGAAAAAAGAATTACCCTCTCACTCACACTCTCTCTCTCTCTCTCTCTCTCTCTCTCTCTCTCTCTCTCTCTCTCTCTCTCTCTCTCTCTCTCTCTTGATTACCACCGGCAAAAGAAGAAGACACCGGTGGCTGTCGCCGACCTAGGCTGCCCCTCCGTCTCCTTCTGGTCAGGTAGCACCACCCAAACACCCGCTTCGGTCGTTGTTACCCTCCTTTTGAACCACGACAGTCGGTGACGAGAGAAAGGAGATTGAGATCCGAAGTAAGGGTTTCTCGACGGCTAGGGTTTCTTGACGGCTAGGGTTTTCAGATGGGCCGTCCTCTATCTCCTCTGCTCCGACGACAACTTCAACTCTGCAAATCCTACATGGAAGAACACGATAACAAACCCGACTCAGTCTGTCCCTCTTTCTAAGTCCGTTCTTAACCGGTCTCCCCCTTTCTTAGATCTACATACACTCCAGATGTGACTCGACGAAGGAGACGAAGGTGAAGGCGGAGAAACTCTTTCTCTTTACGGAGGTATGATGATGGCGGCAGCGACTTCCTCTCCCTAGATTTTCAGATCTGTTGTGGCGTTTGTGTATGTGTGTGTGTGTTTAATATCGCTGGTCTTTTTCAAGTTTGTGGGTGTGTCAAATCGACCCCAGATGTCTCAGGTTTGTAGCGACGCAGGATCTGGAATCTATGGATCTGTCGTCCTCCCTAGCTTTTCAGATCTGTTGTGGTGATGGATTTTGCGAAAATATCGATGTTGGTGGTGGTGTTGAACTAGTGGCGATGGTTGACGATGGTCGTCGGAAAATCTGGTTGGTGTTGGTGGTTACCGAAAAATCCAGCTGCTGTTGGTGGTTGCCGGAAAATCCCCTGTTCTTTGAACTCATGCGATGGAGGTGGTAGAAGGGGAAGAGAGAGAGAGAGAGAGAGAGAGAGAGAGAATCTTCTTTCTTTTTTTTTTTTTTTTTTTTTTTTCATTTTTGTAACAAAAAAATTGAAAAAACAAAATACAAAGGGCAAAATCGTCATTTAAAACCAAAATGGACCAAACTCGCAGCAAAATGAAACTTTTTGGACCATTAGTGCTAGTCCAAACCGGTTTGGCGCAAAGTAGCAATTTTCGACAAACCGGTTTGGCCCAAAGTAGCAATTTTCGACATAACATAGGGACCATTTTTACAATTTTGTCTTATTTTTATACCTGTAATCTTGGGAAGAACCCTGGAGTAAGAAACATGTGACTCGAATCATGGCATTCAAGATGTCTTCCTACAAAAACACAATCAGATGTAATCAACTCCCACTTTGGTGTTCTTGTTCTACTTTCTTCAAGAAGAGAAGGAATCAACAACAAAGATTCTTCATCATATGGATCTTGTTTGTAGCAAAGTTCAAGCTTTATCATCATCTTCACCAAATCACTCGCATCCAAATTCTCAAAAATCCTTGACCCCATCCCCGGAATTTGACTATGTAAACTTCCTTTCAAAATCTTCTCAAAATCTTTCCTACTCACAAATCCTCCATAGCTTTGTTCATTACAACTCAACTTCCTAACAATCTGACCAATGACATCACCACAAAACCATTGAAAATCCAAAATCAAGAACCCTAATTCTTCAAAATATATCACCTCTCCAATACGATGAAGACACATGGTGATTGCCTTTCTTCGTGTCTCCATTTTCTTTAGCATTTGATTGTTTCTAGATTGGACTCGTAGAGATGGAACCCTAATTTGGCACAAATCGTTGAATTCTTTCCATTTCATGGAGGGTTTCTCATGGTTTTCTGACCTCCAATCTGATAGAATTTTTATGAGATCATTGCAGAGTTCATAGACTTTTGGGACTTTTTCTAAAACGGTTTTGCTAGTTTTGCGTATGTGATGTGTGAGTTTACTCACTGAGGCAGATGATCTTGCATCAACTGTGAACACTGTTGGATAAAAGTCGACATATCCTTGGAATTTATCTCTCAATCTTTGAAGAACATTCAT